CTAGCATTGTGGCATCAGTTCATGGACTGCTATCGCATTATAGTATTAAAGAATAATTATTTTAGGTAACAAAAAACAATTATAACATTATAAAAAGAACACAAAAATGCAAGTTTATGTACAGTGTCCTAATTTTGAAAGACAGCAAGCCTATAAACATGAAAAGAAATGTAAATAGGGAAAATGTATAATTGACCTCACTTGAATGCAAGACTCATTGATGACCTCAGTATCTCCTAAGCTTGATGCATCAAGAAAATGGTGACACTAAAGAGATAGAGAAACAAAAAGAGGAAAGAGAGGAAGGTGTACAGCACTGAATTGTTATTACAAAAGTAATAGTAATGGCAATGGTAACTGTATTGCCATCTGTGCTCAGAAGGCAATGTCATTGTTAATGGGTTTATCTGAGACATAATGAAGAATACATGTATAGTCAGTGACATAGGCCAGTGACAATTACCATTACAGTTACTCAGTAATCCCTTAACTCGAATACATGTACATGTACATCACATACCACTTACCATTGCATTAGTGCATATTAATCTCAACACATCCTTTTCTCTAAGTAATAAGTTAATGTCCATGGAACAAACTGTTTATTGATTATGAGTAGTTAACGGCACTAAAAGAGAGAGATAAAAGAGATGGTAATTTTAAGTGATTTTGATGTTTAAACATTGTACTTGTTCAAATTGGACATGCTTTGAATATTCTTAGCATTTTGTCTTAATTCCATTCTCCTGTACAATAAATGATAAATCAATTATTACTGACCAAAGGACACTCACTATCCCTCATTTACTGTACATGTGTACATGCACTGAATAAAACATGCACTGTATTGTGAATTGTGTCTTACCATCATGTTGTTAGGATAGTTCTGCTCCCACATCTTTTGCCGGAAATGGAATCTTGATTCTTGACACGCAATGTGTCTGTGATTCAAAAATGTACTATAATAATAAATAATATAAAAAACATGACATTGACGTACTTGTGTTAACACAAGCTTATAGTATCAGTAAAGAACTGTATTATACACAAGAAGACAAAGAACGTAAGAGATAGGAGAATCCTATATAGGAAGAAAAGAGAAAGAGCAAAAGTTAGATGTACATGTACATATACTAGGAGGAGAGAAGGCAAAAGAGAGGAAGAAATGTCAATACGAGACAAATTAAGATATACAAGAATAGGGGTCAAGGAACACAACAATGAGAATAGAGAAATGCAGTACCAATAAGGATGGGCAATATATCAGTATTTAGTAACTATCATGATAATATTGCAGCTAACAGATTATAATCATTTCTTACTATACATGTGAGTGGTACATGTAATCAAGTATCGTAACCCTTAGCACAAGTGTGATGTAAAAGGTACCACTACTAATCCAGACTAAGTTACATGTACTGTGTTGGATTTTCTAGGCTAGGAACCATTACAAAGGATCATTGTTATTGTAACAGCTTTGATGAACACAATTATTAGTAATTATTGTGATATCAAAATGAGATGCTGGTAAAACAACATTCAATATTTCCACCCTTAAGTACTTATTAACAACACACGTACATGTCAAATATTGCGTATTATTCAGTATACTATAGACCTCTTCAGGTGAGATTGACGGTGGCCTATGAATATCATTACTGTTGATTGCGGTATCTACCTACGGTGATAATTGGCCGCCATTTTGGACGGCAAGATTCAATGGAGGATGAATGAAGAAAAGGCAAAACTGATTCTTTTCGTTGGCATGGAGCTCTTTCAAGCTACAAAAGCTGGTTGGAGGAAAGAATGGTCACTGCTAAGCATCTCCTAAAAGAGATTTGGTGCAATATGAAGCATATTCTTTAATAGAGCTTGCTTTCTGCATTAGCCCATTCATACTCCATAGAAAGTTGCCGTCCACGAAAATTATTTCAGAGTCAGCCAGGCTCAGTCACGCCCCTTGCCGTATATCATTCTTTGACGTAATTCATTCTCACCCAAAGAGGTCTATTACAAGATGCATAAACAGCTATAAGGATTATTATAATACCACATTGCAAGTTAGCTTAGGCCACGTTTACACAGCAACAAAAACGATGCAATCCGTATAGTTTTGTGCCTGCTTTATGCTTCTGTTTACACAGAAACGAATGAAAACGTGATAAAATCTTGATGGAACTCTATGGAAACGAAAACGGTGTTCAAAGTGGATATTTTAAAAAGCGATGCGTTTTGCGTTGCTGTGTAAATGTAGCCTTAGACTGCATGATTGATGGCTGCTTGTAAATCTTATGCACACAGACACAAACCATATGGTGCACAGACACAACACCCTGGGGCAATAGTAATGATTACAGGGTACTAAGTAAAGTAGCATAATAGTAAAAGCAAGAGTTTTTGTGAACATCAGGAAGTAATTCAGTATAATGTAATTCCCATAATACAAAACAGACTACTATTACATGTACAGCAATATGCTATGAGTGACAACAACAAGTATAGCTGGAAACAACTAATCAATGCAGAGGCTTTTCATACTGTGCCCAATGACTGATGCTTTTCTAAAAAACTTCATGCCGGCAAAAAAATCCAATGCACAGACACCTTAAAACCACTTAAATTACAACATTATTTTTTATTAATAACAATGGCTTATTGTAATAGTAACAGTAATGTGCTTTACTGCAATAATAATAATAATAATAATAATAATTATTATTATTATTATTATTATTATTATTATTATTATTATTATTATTATTATTATTATTTCAACTGTAAAAACATAATATGCATGGACAAGGACTAAGGAACAATATCAAATATACAGTTAAAGACTGGCTGCAACTTGTACAGCAACCATAAGTACTAATAGCTCAACTAATAGTAATGGATTATATATATTCAGTAATTGACTACTGAATAATGATTATATACATGTAACTGTAAGCCTACTAGATACTAACCAGTACTCCATCCACTTCGTGATTTGAAAAACCATGATCCATTGAGCTGCCTTTCTTGATGTTTCAGGCTTTCAGCCTCCTGAGCCATGTGAGCGAGCTCCTAAGTGAGCCTCCATAGCTCCTTGACATCCCTCCCCCTTATTCATTAATCATTAATTAAGCAAAACTACTTATTATTCATAGTGTCTAGCTATCCCTAAGGATAGTTTCCAGGAACAGTTATACCTAACTCCGGACAACTGTCCAGAAATAATGCGCTAACCGGGTGAATGGAGAGTCAAGAAGCACGTTTTAAATGCCTTTATGATAAATGCAAGGACACTTTCCAGCGTATTGAAAGCTATACAATTTAGAGATGTAAGTGAAAATCAATATAAAACCACAGTAGGGACTTATATATATAGACAATTTTTAGACTGCAACCTGCTTTATCAGTTCCACTGGATTGAGAGTGACAGTAGAGCAGGAAAAGTGTGTACAAGCAGGGATATAATAGACTAACGTTACTATACGTTAGTCTATTATATCCCTGGTACAAGCAAATTGTTTTGTAAAATCAGATCTCTTTCAAGCCTACAACTACAATGAGGACTCCACACTGATATTTAATATTGACCTTAATGTCATAATTGTAAGGATTGTTTTGTGTGAAATAATTTTTGAAGATTGGTCACCTTTTTAATTAAATAGGAATGTTTGTGTATTTTTGGTAATGAAGGAAACACATCTTTAAGATTGTACTATGATGGATATGGGACTCCACTTCAATTAGTGTACGTTAATTTAATCATTGCTATTTAAAGTAAAGTACATAATGTATGGCTATGCATTCAAGTTTTAAATTATGATTAATATATAATAGACCTCCTCAAGTAAGAATGATGATGGTCTATGAATATCATTACTTTTTTGGTATTCACCTTTGCGTGATAATTGGCCGCCATTTTTGATGGCAAGATTTAAGAAGGCTGAATGAAGAAAAACCAAAACCGATTTTTTTTCTTTGGCATGGAGCCTGTTCAAGCTACAAAAGCTGGTTGGAGGTAAGAACAGTTGCTGCTAAGCATTTCTTAAAAGGGATTTGTGCAATATGTAGCACATTCTCTATTACAGCTTGCTTTCTGCATTAGCCCATTCATACTCCGTGGAAAGTTGCCGTCCACGAAAATTATTTCAGAGTTAAATCAGCCTTAGTACACCTCTTGCTGTGTATCATTCTTTTTAATGTAATTCATTCTCACCCAAAGAGGTCTATAATAGTTATAGTTGTAATTATTATTAGATGAGTATACAACAGCAGGGTTGAGCTACACATAGGTTCACAATTTTTAGCAATTTAGAATTATTTGCACTTCCAGTTGCATTCACTTCTATAATGTATGCCATATAGCAGGTATTCATTTGGGAAAATGTTGTAAAGCAGGATTAGAGATTTTGTTGATTTTACTTATGTTCTGAGTAGCCATTTTGCACACATGGCAGTGATGCAACACGTTTTTGTTTGGAAAATATTTGTCCAACAGGAATGAGAACAAAAAGAACAATTAGACTTCTATCGAATATACCTGCTATATGGTATCAATCGTGTCATTTTTAACTGTTTAATTGCACTATTTAATTATTTCTCTCTCTCATTTGTATAGTCTTGAAGAGAATGAAGTGGTCACTGAGTGTTCAATTCAAACCTCAGAAGCTGATGAAACGCTTGACTTTGATTTTGTGTCAGCAAACATTTGCAATAAAGTGATCATTAAAGTAAAATAATGATACAGTAATTTATCATCATCATTATTTGTAACTATTATTCAATATTCAGTCAGAGTGCATGAGGGAGACTTTCAATGAGTTGGATTTGAGTAGTGAATTTATTGAGATTTACATGTCAGAGGAAGAACCAAATTTTAGACTGTCTACTCATGGATATACAGGGACCACTCAGGTAGGAATTACTGTAAATACACACTGTATTAGTGCAATTATTTTCAACTTATTTTTTACTCTGATTATCCTAAAGAGTCTGATATGGTTGAAGTATTCGAGTGCAAAACAACTCAAAAGAACAAGTAATTTTTTGGGACATGTTCCTCTTTCCTTCTCCTATTTTTTAGTTTCTATTATCTTATTCACATCTCTCCTTCCTACATGTATTTCCCTCCCTCTCTCCTTCCCTCTCACTTCAGATACAAGCTTGCATTACTAAAGCCTTTAGCTAAGGCACTTAGTCCATCATCAAAGATAGCATTAAGGATGGACACAAGAGGTTTCCTCTCATTGCAGTTCATGATAGTCACTGAGGATAAACAACTTTGCTTTGTAGAATACCTGGTAAGTGATTGGACTGAATGATTATACAAGTACTGTAAAATGGAGTTAAACTTTAGCTGGGTAAAAAAGTAAATTTTCACAAATTGTAAATATTTGCAAAATAAAGTGGCCTACTAAATTTGAGCTACCAGGGTTCTATCTAGTGGGGGGGGTGGGGGGGAGCTTCTCCCCCAAACTCTTCATCTTCCCCCCCAAAACTTCAAGCTTCCCCCCTGTGTACTTCTGTAACTGCATGTATGTACTGTACATGTACATACACATGTATGTACACAACCCTTCCCCCCCCCGGTCAACTGCTCTCGGCTTCCTCCCCAAACAAAAATTTCTAGATAGAACCCTGGCTACATTTGTAAAAATTGTTTATTCATAAACATCATACCAGTAGCCTCATTACAAGTACTCTTGTTGCTCAGTGTATGCAGTATGGTTTAAATCAGATGTTGTACTCTCTCTCTTTTTGTTTAGTGTGTTCCTGAAGATGATAGCAATGAAAGCTAGCAATCAACTTTATACTAAAAACTACTGACCAATTTCACCTTCAATCATGTAATACACTTCATTAATAATATTAGTTAATAATGGAAATTAATTTGTTATCAAAGCTTGTATCCTCATTCTTCTTTTGTATCTCTACATCAGTATAGATTTAATTATTTGGATTGATCATGGATCCCATGTCTCTAAAATAAAATAGCAAAAGGTTATATGATCACAATTATTTTTAATCATTCAGGAGAGCATGATTTAATGATCAAGAATAGCTGATGTCATAATACCGGCTACAATGTATAAAAGAGTACAATGATCATAGTTCTAGGTTATCTCAGCTGGGCCATATATTTTTTGAACTACATACATTGTAAAACAATACACATCCATGGTAATTTATTGTATGGATATACGGTATGGCTGGCTGGGTTGCCTCAGCCTCATCATTGTCTCAGCATGATATGAGACCATACTGTTTGTTACTAAGAATGCTACCGTGTTACTAATATCTTTACATGAGAAAGACCTCTTTAAAAGACCTAACATTTTGTAAGCCTTAGTGATGACAGTTTCATGATATGGTTATTTATCATATGATATTTATGATGGTTTGACCATGATAAATCAGAAGAGGAATGAACCCCAAGATCCCTGATGGTATTAGAGGCAGTGATGAAATTCCCCTGGATAGTATAATCATAATATGGTGGAGGTTTACAATTTAAAGTTCCCCGTCTTGAGTCAAATTAAGCCACAGGCTCCACTCCTAGTGGTGCCCTTCTGCCAATTCTCCCAGAACCCAAGGGCTCGGGATTTCTCCACGGGTGCCAACATAGATACTACATTTATGTAGTATTTATGCCGGCCGACATCGTTTACGGTTGGGACTATGTTGGTATCCAATTTTTGGATTATTTAGGAAGTGTATGAGTTTTTATGTCTATTCAAGCATTAGCTATCAGTAATGTGGGTATAATAATAAATCTGTAATTTTAAAAGATTAATAATCATCAAAATAACTAAAAACAATCACATTACAAAATTAAAAATTAATGAAATTTTTTATCACTGACTCTCATGCTCTGACACTAAGTAGATCTAGATCTATATATTATATCAAAAAGTTTTTAAAACATTTTATTTTGAGAGAACTCTAAGAAATATTCCATTAACTGGTGACTGTGAGAGGCCAATGCTAGTCTTCAATGGAACCTGAATTAAAATAGTAAAGTTATCTTCCATGCAATTTACCATAAAGGGAGTTGTAATTTAAGCATACTATTATCATAATCATCATAATGAGGCTCTTGCAAATAAAAAATCTATAATTCAGAACTGAATTAATTAACTCTTATTTAGGCACTGCACTTTTAAATTTTACTTTCATAATTAATTTTAATTATCATCTACAACACATACACAACCCTTTTCCCCTAGTAAGGGTATTACTGACTTGTGTTTCTGGTGCTCTCTCAAACTTGTACTTTCTCAGTAAACTTGTTAGACACATTTTAGCATCCATTAAAGCAAGTTTCATACCAATACAATTACGAGGACCAGCACCAAATGGCATAAAACACATCGGATGGTGAGACTCTTTCTCATGAGGACTAAACCTTAAATATATAAAATAATACAAGTTCATTAAAAATTACAAATGTCAAACCTTTCTGGCCTAAAAATTTCTGGCTGTTCCCAATGTTCAACTGACCGGTGTAGAACCTGAATTGGTATCATGACTGTGCATCCTGCTGGTATAATAACTCCATTAATTGTACATGTATTTTCACACTCTCTGAAAGTCCTATTACACTAAATGATCAACAATAAGTAGCAAATGATAATACATTGATCCTGGTGCATATATTCTCAGTGACTCATTTATTACCCAGTCTAAATACTCTATGCCATGTGCAGCATCATAAAGAGAAGAATCCTGTTTATTATAAAATTTACAACATGCATAAGTTAGGACTCATGTTACAATTGGATTAAGGATAAATGTGAATGAAAATGAATATGAGATTATGTGTATACATATATGCTCAAACTATATGCATCATTGTTGTGCCATACTTTATTGCATTGATAGTAGTTATTAATTTCTTGAGTAAGTTTATCTTGTTTATCATGGTTCATTGCCAGAAGATAAGCTGTAAATCCCAGTAAGTTACTAGTTGTCTCATATGTAGCTAATAGAAAAAATAATGAAACAGAAATTATTTCGTCATCAGTTAATTGCTTAGAACCAGGACAAATTTGATCATCTTCTGCTTTGGCTTCCATCAAAAGCTGTAGAAGGTCAACATTCTAAAATAATTATACAGATGAGTATATACGTGCTGATAATACAAGCTCCACCTCTGGAACCTCAAATCCTTTGAACAGTCAGTGGCCGAAGCCTTAAGGATAATGTAAATTCAAAGGATTCAAGGTGGAGGTCCTAATCATCATTTTATATAATAAACATGTATAACATACATGGACAAAAGGTCTTACTGTATTTTTGTATGATTGCAGGTGCCTCTGATTAATAACATCAAGAATAAAATTTCTAGCAGTATTATGGTATTGGGTTAGTTTCAATCTTTTAGCAAAAAACAATCCAAAAAGCTTCGTTGAGAAAGGAATTTGAGCTATGAAAGGTACAATAATTATTGATGTTTTAGCAGTAACTTACTGCACAATTCACTTAGTAGATTATATAAATTAGGTGTGAATATTCCTATAGCAGCTTTTGTCAGAGAGTTCTTTTCTCCTTTAAGAATATTGACTTGACAACCAAATGCAGCCGCTAGAATTACTTCCATATCAAACTGTCCAAATATTCTACACAAAAGAATTAATAATAATTGTACAGTTCCAAATTTTGTATAATTACATCAAATCCAAAAAACCACTTAACAATAAAGGCGTTAGTGAATTATTGGCAGTAAAATTAACCATAGAATGTATCATAGGGGATGCATCTGTATGCTATTGTTCACCTCCACAACTCAGCACCATTGTTCTTTCTGCTTATGTCACTAAATATCTCGACCAATGTATCACAACTTCTTTCAATAAGTGGTAATACCTGTAAACATAAAACCATTTAAATATTTTTCCTGATCACTATTTCTTTATTTCAGTTATTTGGCATTATACAGTTCTGTATGACTGTATGTCACTAAAGGCGGGCATCCACTGTGCAGCGTTGTTGTTCGCACCTTATGCGTGGCTAAACCTTTGATGTAGTTGGGCAAAATGTTGCATTAAAAGCCATGAAGTAGAGCGATTCCCAATTTCATGACATGTTGCACAACCATGTCAAAGGTACTGACAACAAAGTTGCAAAGTAGATGCCCACCTTAAATGAACCATTTACCATTTTACCATGCATACCATCATTACCATTTTTAACTTCTTGGTTGAAAAAGCAGGATTAACAATAGCTCTGGTCCTTTTCCAATCTTGCTTATTCATAGACAGCATTATACTGCTAATTTTAGCTTTTTTGCGAATTTCAGTCAAAAAGCCAAATTCCTTCTATGATCAATATAAAACCATTTACAAAATGATAACAAATAAGAATGTTGATCTAACAGCCACACCCTTTTAAATTCAGACTTAATGCTGTTACAAAGGAATGTGCAATTGTTGATGGAGGATAATGGTGCTAGACTTCAGCTTACCTTTCTCTCAGTAAAGTTATCAAACTTTTTTATCATAATCTCCTTCAATATATCAGGATCAAGCACAGCAAGGTAAGGCTGCGCACCAATATAATATCTGAATGCATACATAACTTATGGATGCTTTTGTTTGGACAATGAAATACTTACCCAAATACTTTACCATATTCTTTTGACCATTTCTCTAAAGCACATATACTCCCCTAAATACAACAGTTATGACTAGTTATTCAGCACACAAGCATGCATGCTCTTACCAATGTAAATATGTCCAAATTGTTTCCAAAGAAGGGCACAGTTGTGGGAGAATGCAAGCCAAGCTTTTTAAAAAATTCGTAGGGACTGTAGACTACATAAACCTAAAACAAAGTAATATTTATTAGGTCTAGTTGCTAAGCAGTTTTACCAACAATAATAGGCTTAGATAGTAAATTTAAAATTTATCTTAGACTTACTTGTACCAAAAAGAAATAAAATTATTGGGAAAAAAAATTCCTCCTATGTATGCAAAAAACATGTCCTCATTAGCAGCAATTAGACAATAGACTATAGTTAAGAAAGGCAAATAGCTGTTTCCTCACTTTCTTGTGCAATTATGAACAACAGAATCCATACAACAGAGTGGCACTGTTGTCAATGATAGTCTTGCTAGCCTATCATTTTCATTGAATGGTTGGCTAACAAGTAAGTATACTGAGCCACAAGAGGCAACCACTCATGTATACTTTATTGACTACTGAGTTGCAGCTAGCTAGGTGCAGGTAAAAATCCAACAGCCTTGCACTACAGTAAATAAATACCAGGGTATCTAAATAAAACCATGCTGCAGCCATAAAATTTTGTTTAAGTTGTGACATGAACTACATGGGCAATCATGAAACAAGTGAAAATTTAAAGCATTAACAAATAACAAATTGAAAAAATTGTGCGGGTGCAATTAGTCAGTTAGCCTATAGTCTTGCCGCCCAGATCAAAGTAACCACTATGGCTAGTTGGCTACTAATTGCCCAGAGTCATTTGTGTCTGGGCAATTAGTAGCTAACTAGCCATAGTGGTTACTTTGATGATTGTCATGCATTGATGAGTAGGCTTTACCCTTGGAATGCCACTTTCATGTTACAACTCAATGCAAGCATACCAAACAAGGATCAAAGGTCATCAAGTGTTACAGACATGTTTACATTGAGAAATCATGCTTTTCAGTAATAATTATTATATGCTTACTATTATGCAGGAATAATGGTTGATCAGCTTTGCAAGCCAGGTTACCTTTGGGTCAGTTTCTTAGTTCTAATTGATAGATCTATCATGATAAATAATTTATTATAGGAAATTGAAAGTTTTGGCCAGAATGGGACAATAACTGGCACTATTATTACACCTTGTTTTGAAGATACTGTAATTCTTTATGGAGTTTGTCTGTTCTTTTGGATACTAGCAAGTGTTAACTTCTTGTGTCGCAAAAACAGAGAATTTATCCATATTCCTTTTAATATATTACTTTTGACTAAAATGGTAGTTTATAAACTTACAATTAGCTATAGAAATATTAATTTTTTTGTAGGTTTTGTGTTTTGTTATTATGCTAGTAACACTATCTGACTTCATCTATGCCATCATTGTGGTTAGAAAAAATGCTATAGCACCTTATTTCTTCATGTCTCCATTTGTAATAGCATTTACCATGGTATTCTATCTAGACTATTAATAAGTGACATGTCTATTCAATAGGTAACAGTGATTCTTCTACTACAATCTGAGCATAAAAAGGGAGTTCGGTCTTCTGGTCCTCCAGTAATTCTATGGATTGGTCTTGTGGCTTATGGATCCATTAAATTGTGGTCAATACTAACTAAACTTCCTGTTGTATGTTTACATTGCAAATCTAATCATGTATTCATGATTATGTATGCACTTGTGATGCATGTACTGTATCATCTCAAATGCATTTACTGTAGTTGTGCATATAATTTTGTGTATAATTCAGTTGAAATAGCATGAATAGTTTAGTAGTTTGGCAGTTATTACATTAATGTACTTTTTAATTTTTTAGAAAGAAAATGTTAAATTATTTTTTCTGGTCACATTTACTCTTGAATATTTTTGTTTTCTACTTCAACTTATGCTTTCGTTTATCCCAGAACCAAAATCAATTGATGATATTAATGAAAACCCAGTGGTTAGTCATAAAACATACTTTTATTTACTTATATTTTTGAATATACAGTACAGGCCTTCCCCTGAAAAATCTGCGTCATTCTTTTCCCTTGTAACATGGTGGTGGCTAAAACTGTGAACAAACATTATTTATTTATCAAATAATGATATACATCACAGGTTAATGTGGAAAGGATCTCACAAAGTATTAACTCATGATGATCTTTATGATATAAATTATGAGGATAAATCTGAAGTCACTTCTCTCAGATTTCAAAAGGAATGGAATAAAGAAGTGAAGAGATCTGGGTATAGATCTATATTGTGATGTATAATTCTCAATGAGCAATTATCATGATTTTACAGGTTATTATTTGTTCAAGGTCAAAAAAATAATCAAACCAAAAAAACTAGGGAACCATCTCTGGTTCTTGCTTTATTCAGCGCTTATGGATTAGATATTATTACTGGTGGATTTTATAGATTGTGCTATGATGCTCTTTTTTATGTTAATCCTTTATTGTTAAGGTACATGTAAACTCAATATTGAATCATTGAAATTCTCTACAATAGAATGATGTTGGCATACATCAATGACAAAGACCAACCACCGTAGATTGGGTACTTTTTTACAATTGTAATGTTTTTAGTTGCATTGCTTCATACAATCATTAACCAACAATACCAAAATATTACAATTCTTACTGGAATGAGAATAAGATCTGGTCTTATAGCCACAATCTATAATAAGGTTGGTAAAATAATTAAGTAAACATTATCATTTAAACATTATTTTCATAAAAATAGTTGCTTGTTTTAACAAGGAAAGCATGTCAATCCAGAACAATGGGAGAGATGATTAATCTGATGTCAATTGATGCTAATAGACTGATGGAGCTGTGGCATTTTTTTCACTTAATGTGTTTCAGCCCTTTACGAATTATTGTTGTTCTTGTGGGCTTATACTGGGCAACAGGTTTTGCTTTTTTTGCTGGATTGGTGGTGTCTATATTATTAATGCCTTTTACTGCGTTGATATATATAATTGGAAAGCACTTTCAGGTAAAATTGACTGAAAACAGAGACAAGAGGCTGAAAATGATAAATAGTATTATTAATGGCATCAAAGTAATGCAAACTGAAATGATATAAATATTTACAATAATTTTAATTGTTAATGCTTAGGTGATCAAGCTATATGCATGGGAAATACCATTCATAAAAAATGTGAAAAAACTGAGGAATATGGAACTACATAACTTAAAGAAAGCATCTCTTTTGCAAGCATTTGCTGCTTCTACCATGTTTGGTTCAAATACTGCGGTAAATTTTTATACTATAGATCTATAAAATTAATTAAAGGTATTTAATTATTAATTTTTTAGATTATTATAACAACTCTTTTTGCTTGTTTGCTGATCAACTATAATTCTGATTATCATAAAATAACTGCTGTCAAGATTTTTGTTGCCATTTCTCTATCTGATATTCTTCGACTTCCACTGCATCATTTGCCAATGGCACTTGGATACATAATTCAAGTACATACAATTAACATTTGATATTTATATGTTAATTAGACTATTATTATTAGGCTAATATCTCACAAAAACGCATTTGTTCATTTTTGATTGAGGAAGAGCTAAATTCTGAATTTAATGACAAAGAAGATTATGATGAAAGTATGTAGTCTGATTCTTTTTCTAAAATTATTAATGAATAGGCCATGATAATGCTGTATCAATAACTGGAGGTCTATTTTCATGGGGTGATGAGAGAGATGATTTTCTTTTATCAAAGTATTTAAAATTTAGTGAATGACTTATAATATAAATTTTCCAGCATTGAACTATCATTTAAACCTGGAGAACTAGTTGCTGTAGTAGGACCTGTCGGTTCTGGTAAATCAGCACTAATATCAGCTATTATAGGGGAAATGAATAAGTTAAAAGGATCTGTGGTTCTTAGGGTAAGAATTATGGTAAAAAAATTTAGCAATCCACTAGATCTACTTTTGTATTACAGGGTAGAGTAGCTTATGTACCTCAGATTGCTTGGATATTAAATGCTACAGTCAAAAATAATATTACTTTTGGTAAAAGATTCAATAGTGATTTCTATAATGAAGTTGTTAAAGCATGTACTTTGGAAGCGGATTTTGAAATACTACCAGGAGGAGATATGACTGAAATAGGAGAGAAAGTAAAATCAATGTTGTAAACATTTTAGAAATTAGTCTCAATAATAGGGTATAAATCTCAGTGGTGGTCAGAAACAACGTGTTAGTCTAGCTAGAGCAGTTTACCAAGAGTCTGATGTGTATTTGCTTGATGATCCTTTATCTGCTGTTGATTCACATGTTGGCAAACATATTTTTGATAATGTGATAGGACCTGAAGGATTATTGAAAGACAAAGTGAGTAAAAGTACTGATAGTGATTGTGTTTTATGATAACACATGCAGGTGCGTTTCCTAGTGACTCATGACGTGAGGTTCTTATCTCAAAGTAATAAGATAATAGTTATGAATAATGGTAGCATTGATGAAGTTGGAAATTATTTTGACTTGATGGAACGCAATGAGTCATTTTCTGAGATCTTGACAAAATATAGGTCAACAGATAGAAGTGATGAAAAGAAACAAAGTAAATAGTTACTCTTGCTTTATAGACACTATACTTTTAATCTTTTGTTTAGATATTGTAAGTCTAGCTAAACAATCCACCTCTGTACTAAAAAAATATAGTATGGAATAAATGTTGCTTCATCAATTAATAATTTTATACCATTTAGCAAAAGAAACAATAATTTATTCTGATGAAGAAACACAAATTGGCACTGTAAAAGCATGACATATTTATTGCAAGCTATTACTAATTAATTATAGGTTAAGATGTCTGTAATATTTACATATATAAATTCATATACATTTACCATGTTTTTTGTTGACATGGTATTAAGTTCACTAAGTGTTGGAGGAAACGTAAGTCAGTTGCTGTGGTTAGCGCATTGGAGTAATGAGAAAAGCAACAATAACTTGAGACAGTAAGCTCAATAAAATCATAATTTATTTACATTTTTAACCCTTAGTTTTGCTAATCTTGGTATTTATGCTGCAATTGGAATTGCACAGTATATGTGTACTTCATTTACCATTTTGGCAGTAGTTTTAGGAGCAATTAGAGCTTCAAGGAAATTTCATAATGGAATGTTGCATAGCGTACTTCGATCACCAATGTCATTCTTTGATACAACACCTCTTGGAAGACTAGTAAATAGATTCTCAAAGGTAATGCATGATTTTGAGTAGAGCCTTAGGTATTTTTAACCTAGGATATTCAAGTTACTGATG